AGATCTTCGCGGTTCAGTGATAATATTTAGGCAATCCCAAAATACTTACCAATTGGAACCTTTCCTGATTTTTTGTCACTCTTTAGTGCTAGATAGTGAAAACACCCTGTATTGTATAATTTCTTGTGACTCACATGAGTATCACGGTCAGAACCAAAAATAAGTTCAAAGCTTTTTGCAAATCAGTTTTTGCAGGGTGAATTCCTCAGTTAGCCTGCATGCTAAGACCTGCGGAAATCTGCAACCACTGCATCCGAACTCTCTACGTACAACAATGTTAATGCTTTACTCCACGCTCATGAGAACATTGCAGAAAGAGTTTAAAAGCAAAAATGTGAGCGCAGGCTTGCTGTTAGGTCTATGTCGGGTGCCCTTTAAAATATGAAAACTCAAATTTTTTTCTAGTTCTCACTTCGCTAAGCATTTATGAGATAGAAGAAGCCCTGTCGTTTCCAAACTGGTCAAAAAACTGCGAAATCACCCATAAAAACAATCTCGGGGACAAAATACGCATGAAAGTATTTTTAAGCAAAGAAAAAAAGAAAGAGAAAAAGCAGATAAACGTTTCTTATAAAGGTATGACACAGCTGGACTGAGGCGACTGTTTCGACTTTTGATTATGTATATGCACAAAAAACTTTGGAAGCCTAGAATTACTTTAGTGGACAGAAACCTTAAGTGGAAGTATAGTTTTGGCCAACCTTTAAGCCTGCTTTTTTCGAAACTTCTGATTTTTTCCTGAATAATCAAACAAAAACGGGATCCGTTTTAGGTACTGATGGTAGCCTGTTACACACACAGCTGTACCAAATTTCAGATCAATTCGTTGAGAAGCAGATGAGTTACGGCAGTTTTCATGGTGGACGTATAGTTTTGGCCAGCACTGTATTTTCTGAAAATGGAGGACGAGGCGGTTTGGATGGTCACTATTTCCTTGCAGCGGCCAGTCATCTCCAAAATCTATGAATTTTTTTTTGATGTTGAAAATTCGTAAGTGTACAGAAATCAGTGGGCACACCTTTCATTAGGTAATTCTTGAGAGAACTCTAGGCAAACTATTTATTCCCTGAAACCACGTGGTACCACGAAGCTTTCTTCGCTGACATTGCTGTAAAGCTACAAAAGCTACTATTTTTTTCCTCCTGGGTGTTTGCGAATGCCTATAAATCTTCTTCCTCCTTTCCGATACACAAGCAATTCCCGTATAGTATCTCCATTGCTTAACCTTACCTCACTGTTGATTTATTTTCTCGGCTCTCGGTGAAGGTGAGGCTGAGGGTCATCTTGGTTTCGTCCAAGGGTGAAAAGGGAGTGAGCAAATTCTCACACTATCGCACCTATGGACGATAGATGGGTGGTCGACAAAGTCAACGCCTCCAACGTTTCGTGATGGAACTTTTTCCATAAGAATGATGAGTGTCCTATCGTTTATCTTTCGCACGTCTCTTTTTAGAGTTCGTTTCCTGTAGAGCGATGACGTGATATTTGATGTGCTCTGCAGCGTTGAGAAGAGCGTGGAGATCGGCGTTTGTGGAGTCTTCCTGACGTCGTAGGTGCAGAGCATGAGGCAGTCTCCATGGCGCGTCGTCCGGGCAGACATGTCGTTTTTGTTCAATCTAAAAGGCGCCCTGACTACGTGACATTGTTCTTGCTATCACCGGAGCCGTAGGCGGAATCCGATGTGCAAGGTTTATATCTCTTTTAGCTGATCGGCAATTATCAAAAAATCATACATGAATATGGATCGAAAGTGTATCCTTAAGAAAGAGAATGGAAAGCTGCATCGAATGCGTGTTAAAACTTACTCAGGTCTTTATTGTGCGTGATTTTATAATAGTTTGAAAAACGGACAAAACTTTCGGAACAACCTAGTACATATTAGGTGGGTCCGAAAGTTTTGTCAATTTTTTCAATCCATCGGCAAGCACGCTAAAATGAAGATAAATAAACGCTTCAGAATGTATCTAATGCAAAATTTCTTCCTCTTTCCAGCAGCTAAACCCCATTGTGTTTAGTTGCGAGAGCGATGAGATATTTGCTGGAAATTACAACCACTCGTTTTTACCATGTCCAACTTTTGCTATTTCAAAATATTTGTATGAGACTTTCGGAGGAGCCCTAATAACTAGCAGATAGGGCAAAACTTTTGCCAACAGAAGCAAGTTTTTGTAGTCCCACGGCTTGTCTTTCAGAGTTTCTACGATTTATTTTTTAAAGGGACCAGATTTTACATTCAGCTTATTTCAAGCTCGTAGAACAAAAGATGTTGAACACTTCAGTCACCATTCGATGCAGATTTTTCTCCTCTTTTTGACACTTGTCTTCTTTTGCCGGGACAGGCGAAATTTGTGGGGGCAAATCGCAGTATTTTTCAAATTCATGAGTGCGCACTACCGCTACTACTGCAAAGTAAATGAACGATTTTCGTTCTGACGTAACCTATGTTTTAAAAACTTCATACTTTAAAACGAAAATCGTTCATTTACTTTGCAGTAGTAGCGGTAGTAGTAACCGTGTGTTGAAAACTCAGTTTTCTGTGGCCTTGCAGTGCTTGGTGCAATAACAGGTTATGCTATTTTTCCGAAACACAAGACTTTTAGAAAAATAATTAGCAAAAATCTGAGAAAGCAGCTGAAGAAAAGAAAAAAGTTGCATAAGTTGGCAAAAAGTTTGCCCTATCTGCTGGTTATTGGAGCTCTACCGATTATCATACAAAAATCTGGCAAATTAGTGAAAGTTGGACATGGTGAAAACGAATGATTGCAATTTCCAGCGAATATTTCATCACTCTCTCAACGAAACAAAATGGTATTAGGGCGATCCAAAAGTGATGGGGCACCTTGATTTTAAAAACATTCTTCAAGATCTCTTTCTGATTAGCTATGAACGATCAGCAATTTGAACACTTTTGTATAAAGTGACCTTTGCAAGTTACCTTGACAGCACCTTGCAGCACTTCACTGACATTCCTTCGGGCGACGCTTCAAAGAAGTCAGACAGACTATGATTACCTTGATAAAAGAATAAGTAATATGTCTCCTGATACCCAAAGCTATATCTTCTTTTCTAAAGCCTTGGGACCACCGAGCTATCGTGGATTTGGTGACAGCCCTTACCCATTGCCACGCAGATATCTTTGGTAGGCTCACTTGTTCAACTGCGGCGCTGCTGCTCAAAGTTCAAAGTTACTTGAAGTGATGAGCTTTTTAGCGCTTATGAAAATAACGCCACGTGCAGTGCCCAAGTATAGATCTCGATCAGAACGTTTTGTTATGTACTAACATCTACCAAAACTTGGACTTCCAATTAGCTTTTCCGTTTGAAAAAACTGCATTTATTTTCTAGGTGCCCCATTACTTTTGGATCACCCTAATAGTTTAGCAGCTGGAAAGAGGAAGAAATTCTGCATTGGATACATTTTGAAGCGTTTGTTTATCTTCATTCTAGCGCGTGTTTGCCGATGGGTTGAAAAAACTGACAAAACCTTCGGACCCACCTAATAGATAAAGTCGTCAGAAATATATTAGGTTGGCTCGAAAGTTCTGGGACATTTTCGGCAAGATGTGCTATTTTTCGAAACTTAATGCATGCACATCCGGCAGAGGTACCATTCAACAGACCAAAGCAAGCTCTACAAGAGCAGTGCAAAAGGTGCAAAAGTTTGCAAAAGTTTGTGCCAGCTTCGACCCAGCGTAAGTTTGCATCCGGAATCTTGTACTGAAGGAAAATAATCCCATCTTCGTAGAAAAAATCCTACGGATATCAAACTTGCTCAGGTAAATTGCATACCACATTAGACACTCATTTGTACCATTCCTGTAATTTTTCCTCATTTGAAAGTCAAGAAAATGAAAATTTTCATGTTTATACAAAAACGAAGCTACGCTGTCCCCACTCATGTTATTATACAGTACACGTCCTTAGAAGTTTAAGCGTAAATTTTTTCATAAATTTTCAGCTTTTTATAGGCCCTACTTTCCGATTTTACGAATGAAACTCTTCTCACTTAGATGTTCCATGTTAAAATCAATATTTCTCGAAAACTAGGGCCTGTAGACAGCTGAGATTTATGATTACACTTCTGGCGTGTACTATAGAATTACATGAGTGGGAACAGCGCAGCTTCGTTTTATGTGAACATAAAAATTTACGTTTTCTCGATTTTTAGATGAGGAATAAATACAGCATGATAAGTATGGGTGTCTGATGTGGTGTGCAATCTGCAAGAACAACTTGGAGACCCGTAGAATTTACATGAACGAAGATATGAATTTTTCTTCATTCAAGCCTTCATACGACTCAGATTCTGGATGCAAACTTGCGGTGGATCGAAGCTGGCACGAACTTTTGTATACCATTTTGTAGAGCTTGCTTTGGTCTATCGATAGTTCCTCTGCCGGATGTGCATGCATTAAGTTTCGAAAAATAGCAGATCTTGTCTGGAAATGTCCCAGAACTTTTGAGCCAACCTAATAGTTAGCACCGAATATTCGTGTCCGAATAATTTAGAAATATTCGACTATTCGAATATTCGAATAGTCGAATAAATGAGAAACGCCTATGTTCGAGTAATTCGTCCATCCGACGATTTCGAAAAATGACTTACTCGAATATTCGAATATTCGAATATTGCATTCGATATTCGAATAGTATTCGAAAACTTATTCGAAATTAGTTCGAATGTTCGATCAAGTTCGGTTATTCAAGTATTCGTTCATTCGAATTTTGGAATGTGCCAATATTCAAATATTCAAATTCGAATGAAAATCGAAAGTCGAATAATATTCGTTCATTCGAAGAATTTTTGAAAATCAAATATTCGGTATTCATTCGTTTGAAAAATTTTCGAAAATCAGTTATCCGACATTCATTCGTTCGAAAAGAAAATCAATTATTCGACATTCATTCGTTCGAAAAATAAAAAATTGATTATTCGATATTCGTTCATTTGGCGAAAATTTCTGTTCGTTACAACTATAATCAGAAATGCTTTTTCAGAGTACTGACCGAAATCTGATCACAATGGCTAACAAATTCTATGGAGAGCGAAAGAAGACACTTGCAGCTCCTTCTAAATTAAGAATCGTAGGTTTTTCCGTAGCTCTTCGAGGTCTAATCAAACAGCCAAACAAGACATTAGCTTATAAGCAAACACACCATTTTCATGCGACCCGCTATCTTGACTGTTCCATGCCTTGTATGCCTGTTCCGCACCATACTTAGCTCGCGCGTGCAAAAAAGAAACCGCTAATCATCAGAGCGATATGTACAGTCAATGTCAATTACGTACTCCCTTTCGCATGTGAGCTACGCTTGCGCAAGGCCTAGCGCGCGAACCTCTAGCCGGTGAGCCAACCTGAATGCTGGAGCCACACGTAACGAGCGCCCCCTCTTAGAAAAAACCGGTGTGAAAATCACAGAACACAGAGTTCCAAGAAAGGCGACCGTTCTAACAGCGCATCTAATTGTCAATTGAGTTACGAATGCTAAGCTAGGTGAACTGAAAGGAATTTAAACCGTTAGCTGTAGTCCCAAACAAGTACGTACTGCTTTGCCATGAAACATTGATCAATCTTACTTGTTCGTAAGTGCTGAAATGTTCGGCTTTAACCGACATTTTCAAGTAGAATGATGCGCTAACTTCAACGTCATACACGATTCAATTACATGTTTCTTGGTCACGGAAATGTCTACCAGCAATGCGGAGAAGGAGGAAGAAGAGAAAATTAACGACGGAGATTATTTTGCATGCAAGCAACATAGGGCTGCATTAGCGGGCGTACTTATCACTAGCTAGCAAACACAGCCCGCCCTATCTATATTTTCTTAGACAGCCTCACTTACCACCTGTGCCAACGCTCAGCTCCGTACTCTAACTTTTCTAAAAATCGATAAAATCGGCCTTGATCGATGGATAATGAAGGCAGCCTAAGACATCCGCCCAGCTCCGAGGGGTGTGTACAAAGTTTGGTCCGGATCAGTTCAGAAACAATAATTTGTATTCAGAGCATACATACAGACAGGCACACACATAAACTTACACTCGCTTCCAGGCTTGATATATGAGTCAACAAAATACGTGCTGATTACCCGATCTCGAGTCCACATTTACAAGCTTACTCTCATTATGCCGCTTCTCAAACACAATATTCTTCGTCGACTTGAAACTAGCAATAGAAATGGCAATCAAGACATTCGATGTATGGCGAGATGTGATCTTTTCAGGATGTAGAAGATGGCTTATAATAAAGCGCTAAGGCCGTCTGTGTCCGTGGGTGTATATCTGTTTGTTACGAAATAGAGTGAGTTGCAGCAAACATCTCGAGCCACAATTTTACACGACGCATGTCGCTAGCATGTAGGTTCACAATCCACTATGTAGAACTTGCAAAAACTGCGCATCAAACAGGTCCACGCGGCTTTTAGCTAAAAAGGCTAAACACGCCTTCGCAAAAACTAGAGCCGCCTTTTTACAAAATGGCGAGGTCAAAAAGCAGTGATTGCGTAGATTGTCAACTTGTCATGATTTTACTCAAGAAACGAGAGGACTTCTGCTCAGAGGTCCAGCTTACGTTGGCTGTAGTCTTCGCGGCGAAAAAGCCAAAACAAATTTGTTAAATGGTTTTAATTCGAAATTGTTCACCTGCAAAAACGACTCTTTTCTTCCAAAGTTACCGATTTTACATGGAGTAACTTTTGAATAAGTAGTTGTTTACAGTTCATTCGTAATGATCAGCATTGCGCGGTGAGTTTCAGAGTCATTACTACGTGAGCACGAGAAAAGCATATAGTTAGTAAAAGGTGCGAACCTCTGCAAAGCAGAGGTGACGCACTGGTGTAGAGTATTTGCATGTCCACTTACCGTGCAATTTCGTCGATTATGGTACCGCTACAGACTTAGACTTGCGTTGATTTTCTACTCAGCCTCCCGTAAAGTACTTGAGCAAGTTGATGTACCTAAAACAAGTTAAAACGCATTACTCTAATCTCCTGGGAGAAGCAGGCTTGGGACAGCTTAATACTCTTAACGTTGCTAACTGTGAAATTTTGAGCACTGCTAGTATTTCTGACTCATCAAATTCAGTATAGACCCAGAAAACTGCAAGAAGTGGTCGGCAGCACAAAGATTGAATACTCGATGCAGATAAGCAACTTTAAGCGCTCTGTTTATTCGGCTCGCCCAGGTCGAGCAAGAGCTGTGGCACACAAGCGCCGGATACGACCCCCCCCCTCCAGCCTATTTTCTGTCTCAATACCCCCCCCCCCCCGTCCATCCTCTCTTCCGTAGTTATGACATAAAGGCTCTACAATGAATAATTAGGCACATATTCGTAACTATCATGTCAAATAACCGCCATGGTCCAAGTTTCATCAAATTCTGAGGGTTCCTAATATTGGACCACCACCCAAGTGAAGTGAACATTTTCGAAGATGACTATAAATTAAAAGTGACCTAACTGACTCTTTTTGTACTCAATACAAAGCACTACTTCCTATTCCATACCATGAATCCTGCTTTAGAAAACCATCAAACTTTGGCATTAGAGGCAGATCATAATCTCGTTTGTCCCATTTTTCGCTTCTGATGGCTGCGCTTTCACCAGCTTTTACTTAGAGCGAAGAAGATGAATCAGGCCCAAATTACCTAAAAACTACAAAACGCAGGCTATCAAACTATGTGTTGTTCGCTAAAATTCTTTTTGGAGGCAGGTTAATGGGGTGTGACACAGGTAAAAATAAGGTGCGGCACAACCCCTAAAAAACTGTGGCGGCCACAGTTTTTAGGGGTTGCGCCACACCTTATTAATTTACCTTCAAAGCATTCAAATCTCTGTCTCTTTTATATGATTGCTACTGCCAAACCTTCTACTCCATATAGCAGAAATTTCATTCAAAATTGTTTCTCCTGGGGAACGATATTCGTTTTTCTTTAGCTAAGCAAATAAAACACTGCGAAGATATTGGATTACGGTAATATGCTAAGTCTGCGCTACTACGTGAATTGCGAGGGAAGGCGGCAAAAACTATAATTAATGGCCTAATCCTCTTGACTTCAACAAAGTGATTTGAGCCTGCTTGGTCTCTAGAAGAAATTGAAAGCGAAAAATGGGACAAACAAGATTTTGGCTTGCTCTTAATTCTAGAGTTTGGAAGTTAATTAAAGTGCGATTCCTAATACGAGCGAAGAGGTAGTAGTACCTTGTAAGACTGCAAAAAGAAGTAGTTTACTTACCCTTGGAACGAAGTTAGCATGTCGAAAATGACCACCTCACTTGAGTGTCCCAATATTTGGAAATCTCAAAATTCGCCGTAACCAGGCCCTCAGGCGTCATTTGGCATGTTAATTACGAAAACAGCGATCTTACGCTTCCAGGATTCTTTATGCTTACTCTGCGTGTAGGACGGTAGGCCAAAACATCAGTGCTGTTTTTTTGTAGAATGGGCCTGTCAGACATTGTTGAATGACATAACGTCGCTTACATCACTATCACCTCAATAAAGACCCCGCTCTTCCTGATCCCTCTACGACCCACCAGGTGGCGTGCCATACCCCACGCTTGACCCTGGGCTCGCCTAATTCAAAAAAACATTAAATCTGATATGAGATTCTGGGAGTGTAGGATCAAACCGATTCTCAAAGAGCGTTCGCCCGACTGTGTCGATCTTGGTAATAACACCAAGGTGCAGTTCCTGGTGGTTCTCCAAAAGACTGTCAAGCCAATACGGCATCAGGCTACTTAACCTCTACATTGCAGAAGAATTTGCGAAGGGTAACTAGCGTATTGGTGTGGAGAAGAAGACGATTTAGAGAAAGAATTCAGATGCTCGCAATGTCTCGTCCTTTCCCGTAAGTATGTACGCGTGATTATCAGTTTGTACTCTTATAAATTTTTTCAAACTTCGAAAAAATCGAAACTATTTCCTCATTAACACGTTTTGGACCCTTTGAAAGATCTTTTCTACGTTCACAAAAGGTATTCTTCTAGTCCAAGGTTATCAAGTCAAAGAACTAAGCTCTTACTTTCATGACTTAGTAGAGCTGTGCCGCCGATATTTGTTTAGGAAATATGGAGACAAATCCACTACAGTTGCAACAAAGTGCGGCAACGCGAACGACGCTTGCGACGTCGCGACTTCTTTTCTTCGATTTCAGAGTGAAAAACCGTAGTTTTAATGATGGGTGTACCGCGTCAACATATTTTTTTGGATATTATTAGAAGCTTTGTTCTTGTCTTGTTCCCATCTTTCAAGAAACGCAGAAGTCCTTCTCGAGTGACAAAATATAAACACTTCAAATTCACTCAAAACTTTGGGTATGAAACTTATCTGACATGCTGATTACAGATGTACCAACAGTCTAAACCAGGTCCTTTTGTTAGCTAACGGCTAAAGTATACTCTTTTTCGCCGCGCGCGATTTCGGTCCGAAACGCGTTTAATAGAAATTCAACAAAACGCATGCAGAATTCGTAGCACGCTCGCCCTACTGCATTAAAATCAATCAGAACTGTCCTTGTTATCGATCAATGATTTTCTATGATTTATCAAAAATGAACAAAAAGTGCAAACTGATAACCACGTACTGCATCTCCTCCATTTTTGTTTTGTGATTACCAGAAAATAGTTGTCCTTTTTTGAAGATTCGACACCAACTTTTCGAGAGTGCCGAAACAAAAGGACTTCACCTACTTCGTTTACGGAAATGAGACATCTGTCAATTTCACCGCAGCTGCGCATCTTATGATAAGATTCGATTTAGCTAGAAACCATGAAGTGAGTCATGTCACAGTATCATTTCGTTTTGCATTCGCATCCACTCAAGATTAGTCAAATTAGAACTGTTTACCAGAATATTCGCTCAAGGCAAGAGTGATCGGCTCTGCTGAAACTTTTTCTCTTCTTGTTCTGCGCGGGTGTGGTAATTTTTACAAGTTCTTTCATTCATCACTGAGAAAATTACTGATATAATTATATAATTTTTACTGAATCATGCTTTAACAGTATAGCACAATATGTTCTTGCAAGAAGATTTTATTCATTTTCATTGAAAGCAACAGCTTTGTTTTTGTTTCCGGTACCCAGCTACTCTCATCGCTGCCAGTAGTATCCGTGACTGGAACAACTTTAGGCCGCGGGCATACTCCACGCGATCTGGCAATCTGCCAGATATCTTCAGTTCAATACTGGCGGACTTCAAATGCACAGCATGTTTAACTTTCTTAGGTTGTCAAAATGCCCTATCTTCCGTACATTCAAAACCTCTTACGATGAATTATGCACAATTGGAGCATTGCCAAATTGCGTCGCAAATGAAATTGCGTGTGATGCGCCTAGGGCCTTACAAAGTTTATTCAGCATGCCGCAGTTGCTTGAACTGTGCATCGCTTCCTTTTGTGCTTTTCGAGATTAGAAAATTGCTGACTAAGCGGCAATTTTGGTACATACTGCCAACTAAAAGAAGATGATAAGTGGTTATACAATCCTTCCGCTACCCAAAGTTGTTGTGTGACATCTATCTTCTTATTAGCACACCCTTACAGATTACGCACGTTGCAACAGCATCCGGATCCATTCGCACAATAGAGGCCGTTTCCCTAGCTATTTTGAATTTGTACAAAGGAGAAAGCCCAGACAACGTGGTTGCTATGAAATCCGCTTACTACGATATACGCGACGGGAAGTTTTATTGTGAAGACAAGGCAGGTTTTCTACTGTTTTAGAACTCATACAACTATCAAAGGAAGGTCATGAATTCGGTGGCCGATCAGCGCAAGATGCATATTTCGCGGAACAGAACGCCGTCCAATTCTGTCTTCTATACTTTGGACCGAATCGAATGATGATTCGATTATTCGAATAAATCGTTCGAATGCGAATGATTCGAAAATTCGAATTTTCGAAAATCTGAGATTTCGAATAATATTCGACAGTCGAATATTCGAAAATTTTCATTTTCGAATATTATTCGAAAGTCGAATATTCGAAATTCTCAACTTTCGAATATCATTCGATAGTCGAATATTCGATGGTCATTAATTCGATCATTCGATGTCCATGGAATATCCGAATTTTCGATGAGCACCGAATATTCGAAAATTAGATAAGAATTGACTATTCGAAGATTCGAAGCATCGAACGGAAATTCGATATCCACAACATATACGGGGTGTGTACAAACTGATTAATCGCTAATACCTCTCAAGAAGTCTTTTGCCAACCTTTAAGTAACATCCTGTAGGGATGGCTTCAGCTTACAAATACGGCAGAAAGCAAATCACCTATGCTTTTCTTGTTGTGTTATCACGGTATGAACTAAGCATATAGAGCAACTGCGAAATGAGACATCCAAAAGAGTTTCCCTAAGAATAAAGAGATTTCAAATCTATGTAGCATGATTTTACGCATGTTTAACTACGCACGGGCTTTCAAGCCTTTTAAATGTGCATTTTCTTTTTCGAAAGCGTTGGAAAACATCTGTTATGTGTACCTGGCATAAGTTGCAAAAGGAGTCACAGTGAGTGCGAATTCTTTATACAGTGAGTGTCTTCAGAAGCCTAGTGTAAGATCGGCCTTTTTGTTTCTCATTCTTGGTCAAACGGCTCTTCATATCTCCAAATCCTCCTCAGTTTTCCTACGGTAATTTACAACAGTAAAAAGCAATCGATACATCGCTTCATACTGTAAGTCTAGGTTGATGTCCCACATCACATACTGTTGGGACCCCTGTATGTCAGTCCACAACTCTCAATGAGGATAAATAATCTTCTTTGATTTTTGAAATTCCTTTACAACCGTCACGTACGCTTCTAGGTTCTTAAAAGCAGCGTCCCAAAAGATTTGTCCGGGAATTTGTGGCGATGTTAAATTGGACCCCCTACCTAAGCGGTGACGAAGTTCGGAGCGAAAAAGAGGGTCTGGTAAGCTTGAAAATTGCTCCCAAAGTGGCACGTCTTACGGCAGTCCCGAATGCCGCCCGTACAGTCCTCTACCCTGCATGCATCTCGTACTCACGAGCTTACCGTAAGATCCGGGCCACTTGCGAGGCAAATTTTAGGCCTGTTAGCCCCCTTTTTCGCTCCGAACATCAGTCATCGCTTAGGTGGGGGGACTACTTTAACATCGCCACAATCCGGCACCCATCTTCTTGCCGGGGCTGCAACTGAACCGTTTTTTCGTTGTAAATTGAAACATAAAAAAATGTTTATACCTGAAAAAAAAATTTATTCTGAGATGTTTTGGTCTGTCACAGGTAGTCTCACTGACATAATTTATTCGCATAGTATTCGAAAATCGAATGATATTCGAAAATCGAATGTTATTCGAGAACCGAATAACATTCGAAATCCGGACATCGAATGGAATTCGATATTCGAATATTATTCGATTCGAAAACTTCCATTTTCGAATAATATTCGATAGTCGAATATTCGAAAATTACGATTTTCGAATAAAATTCGATAGTCGAATATTCGAAGTTTTCAATTTTCAAATAATAATCGATAGTCGAATATTCGAAAATTTCGGTTTTCGAATATTATTCGATATTCGAATATTCGAAAAAAATTTCGAATTTCCCAAAGTATACTGTCTTCCATAACTGCAAAGCGTTTTTGGACGAAATTTATGAGCGCTCTCCAAAACCGGTCGCGGCCGATTTGTCCACATAGTTTGCATTCGACGGCGCGTCGTGTAGGCATAGTAGAAGCCTACACGGGGCGTCGTGTAGGCTTACTTGCAGTGGCAAGTAAGCCTTCCTGAGTATAGGTAAGTTTGACCGCTGTAAGGCGGATCGCATTTTTTTCGAAATTAATTTAAGCGCTGCATAGAAAGGAAAAAACCCCATGGCCAATTCGAACCTATACATCCTTGTGGACTGCACACTTGCCACTGCGTTATCCTCATGAAGCGTCCGTGTAGCAGAGAAAGTGAATAAAGCGGCCACAACCCGTTTCGAAAGACGCTCATAACTTTCTTTCTATGAAGTTCTATTCTACAAAGGAAAACAGATTTGAATAAGTGTTCCAAGCTCCAGATATGTATACACTTTGGTTGAACGGGGTTGGAAGGCGACCGCTCGCACACGCGAAGCTGCGTCTCTCTCGCGAGTATGCTCCTGATCATTCTTTAGCCTTGATTAGGCCTCGAAGCCCTGCCTTCCAGCTGCCAATCCTGTTGAATCAGAGAGCACAACCTGTGCTGATCGGCCATTCTAAGTTTGCCACCCTCCCTGTAAGATAAAGAGCTAGGCCTCGGCAAAGTTATTTTTGGACGGGGTTAGTTGACGTTATTAGTTTTCTCCTAGTTTGGTGATTTGTTGTAGTTTCAGGCTGCTGTATAAAATTTGTCCGATTCCAATCTTCCATTCAAAGTGCCATAACTTCTTTCAGAGTCAACTTTCTCATGATCTTATTGTTAGTTTCTATGTGTTTCATTGGTTATCGGAGAGATACCGAGACTTGCGAAAAACTTTTTGAAGAAGAAGCAAAAACTCAAAACTCTACAGTAGGTGCGCTTAAAGGCAGTGGCTTGGCAAAACCAGACATGTCGAAATTTGATATGGAAGCTTGCTTGCATCCCAAACATCACAACAGAGCAGGTCCGAGCGCACTACATGTGCCCCTGCCTAGAAAACTACACCTGAACACGTGCGCGCAAACCTTCCTTACACGCGCTCGGACAAGCGTGCCCTCCCCCCACCGTCATAGGCGGCATGCCGCAATGTTATAAACATGAGAGTCCCGCAACCACTCTAAATCTCTAACCGTGGCGGGTAGTGGTCCACTCGTCCAAATCCAAAGTGAGAACCATTGAAAAGTGCTGGTTTTTGCCATTTTCGTGCTCTTCAAGGTGTATTTTCGAAATCAGCGCGTAGAATTACCCCAGGTAAGCGAAAAAACTTCAGGTTGAATTTTTGCCGAGCCACTGCCTTTAAGCTTAAAAGAAAGCAAAAAACAAGAGAAATTGCATGTTTTTCGTTTTTCTTTGAATATGAAGTTCGTGAGCAGTTTTATGTATCAGTCGCACCGATTTGAGAGAGCTATCCTCTCGTGCTAAAATCAAGCAGATCTTTTCAGGCCGCGGAAAGTTAGCGCAATTACCCCCAGCTACGCCTTCGCCAGCGAGTCTGCGTTAATTGCTCTCAATGACAACGTGGGCTGTTCACGTTTTAAACAGTATAAATATTAGTTCGATGCAAAATTAATGAGCGTTTTTCCGTTTCAAACTTAGCTCAAATGCCGTGAGACGAATTCCAATTTTTACACAAGTCAAGCTGCATCATCTTGTGGCTAAAGACACGTACTTTCTTACCGTACATTTCTGAAATTTGGGCTTGAGAAGAAAGATGTCAAAGCAAGATTTTCGACAGATTTACTTTTACGAATTTTCTCTCGGCACTGGCGCGGCAGAAACGGCTAGAAAGATAACCTAGTGTGGGGCGAAAATAGTGTCGGCGAATCCACCGTGCGTCGTCGGTTCCAAAAATTTAAGAGCGGGAACACAGACCTTGAAGATAAGGAAAGGCGCGGACGCCATTCAAACTGTGACGACGACCGTTTGAAAGCTGTATTGGAAGATAATCCCCATCTTCCAACAAGGGAGGAGGACCTTGGTGTCAATCAATCTATGGTGTTTCGCCATTTGGACAGAACTGGAAGTGTGAAAAAATTGGATAAGTGGGTACCACATGAGTTGACCATCGCCCAAGCAAACCATCGTTACGAGATCTGCTCATCGCTCCTTCTACGGAACCAGAACGAACTATTTCTCAATCGAATTGTAATCTGTGACGAGAAATGGATTCTATACTACAGCAGGAGACGATATGCACAGTGGGTGGATAAAGACGAGCAACCGAAACACTTTCCGAAACCGGTGCTGACTCCAAAAAAGGTGATGATCACTGTGGTGGTCTGCCGAGGGTATCGTTCACTACAAATTCCTGAAACCCGGTGAGACCATCACAGCGGAGACCTATTACAGGGAGATTGATGAATTGCAGGAAACTCGAGCGCATGCCCATCTTTGGCCAACAGAAAAGGTCCAATTCTTCTGCACGACAATGCAAGACCTCATGTTGGAAATCGACTCTCCAAAATTGAACGAGTTTTACTACAGAATTCTCCCTCATCCTCCTTACGCACTAGACCTGTCTCCCACAGACTCACGTTTTCAAGCACATGGACAACTTTTTGCAAGAGAAAATATTCAAGAAACAAGACGATGTGCCAAAAATGCCTTCCAAAAGTTTACCGAATCTAAAACGCCCGTTTTTTACGCCGCGAATAGAGTTGGCATTGCGTCGGAAAGGTGTGTGGATTCCAACGGTTTTTATCGACTAAAAATTTTATGTCTGAATGAAGTTACAGCACGTCAAAGTCAAGATAGCGAAACGCTCATTGATTTTGCATCAACCTAATAAAATCTAAATAATTCTATATAGTGATTTTCTTGCTCGGAGTGCAATGACAATCGTTCTGATACCAAACATGGAATTATATGAAAACCACTCGAAAGAAATCAATTTTAGTTTTCCCACATCAAATCATACTTCCATGACATGATTGGAAGCAAATGTAGGTAAATATTCCTGTTTTAGCGTACATGGACCAAAACGCTAAACTATAATTAGGCATTACCCACCAAGCTAGTATATAAAGCATTCACCAAAAAATGTCCGAAAAGTCTTTTTTCTCGTGACTCAT